CTCATATAATTTTCTTATTTCTAATTTCTAGCCCAAGTCTAATTAATCAAATTAACCTAAATTTTATCCAATTTTCTTATTCTACCTTAGTGTCATTTCTATAGTTTTAAATAAATCGAATTGGAAGTCTCTCTTTATTATTTTGAACTCACTAAGTTCCTTTTACTGTGATTTTAACAGTCAAATTCACGAAGCACTTAATAAAGAGAGGCACAAAAGATCACGGGGATTGGACTACGTTAAATTAGTTATTATACGGAATCCAAGAACCGAATCGAACCCGAATTATTCTATAATTAAATTTGGATCTGACGGTTCCATTTACTAAATACCTGAAAAATTGGGTTCAGTTCAATTATCCTTAGAACCGAAATGGACCATGTCCAACCCTGTATAATTTGTTGTTTTTTGTATATATTATTTCACCATTTTTATCTAGAAATCAAAGCATTTTTTATCAATTGATTGCTGTATGTATGTGTCAAGGAATTGAATTTGAGATCAGTGGTTGAATGGCATTAGTTGTATATATCGAGAAAGATATATTTAACGAAATCAATAATGATTTAATTATATAGCGTTTTTAAAATATGAAAAACACGTTAGGGAACAATTATAATAATGCGATGTTGCCGTGTTACATTTTTTTTTTTTTTAGAATTATTTTGCTATATGATTTTTGCTCATCCAAAATAAAATATCCTGCTTCGCCACTAATTTTTGCTTAACCGAAGAAGAGGCTAAACCTATGAATGGATCATGTTTATGAACACTTGAATCAGTTTTTATTCAGTCCTCAAAATAAAATAATATTTTTATTCCTACGTATTTAGTAAATTTTGAAAATAAAGTAATGATCTTTGGTAAAATACTTGTTTTTGTTAAATAGGAGTTAGAAAAATTAGATTAAATCTTAAAATATAGTTCTCGCGATAACGATAATAAGGACTCAAATGTCTACTATATTACTTGTTACGATATCGTAGACTTACGATATAAAAAACGCAACATACATAATTGAGTTACATACAATTGAGGCGCCAAAAAGAGAGTAAT